GGTAAGCCGAGGTGTATCAATTTTGAGTAAATTAGCGTCCTTCAATTTCGAAATATTGAAGTTTCAAGCATTTCTTAAATTTACCGTTATATGAGAATCGGCCGTTATTTTAGTCCGATTTCAATAATTTTCAACGTTTTGCTTACACGTGGCAAGTAGTTACAATAACCATACCGAGTTTGGTACAAATTGGTAGAACGGTTACCGATATACTTATATGTGATCATAAGTGGGCGGTGCCACGCCCATTTTCCAAAATTTTACCATAAACATATTTCTTGGTAAAGAATTGTTGCAAGCATCAATTTTGAATAAATTAGCTTCAATATTTACTGATTTATCGAAGATTTTGTATTTCTCTAAATTACCGTTATATGGGATGTGGGCGTGGTTTTTGTCCGATTTCAAAAAGTTTCCGCGGTTTTTTATGCTGTACCAAGGCCAACAACTGTGCCAAGTTTGGAAGAAATTGGTGCAGCGGTTACCAAGATATACACATGTAACCATAAGTGGGCGTGGCTACGCCCATTTTCCAAAAATTTATAATATTCTTATTTTTCGTCTAAAAATTATTGTAAATATCAATTTTGAGTGAATTATCTTCAGTAGTTACTAAAATATCGCAGTTTTCGTATTTCTGGAAATTACCGTTATATGGGAAGTGGGCGTGGTTAAAGTCCGATTTCGCCCATTTTCAATACCAACCTACCTTGCATTAAAGGAAACCTACATACCAAATTTCGTTGAGATATCTAAATTTTTGCTCGAGTTATCGTGTACACGGACAGACGGACAGACGGACAGACGGACAGACGGACGGACAGACAGACATGGCTTAATCGATTTCTTTTTTCATCCTGATCATTTATGTATACATTTGTCTATATCTATCCCGATTCGTTTTGGCTGTTACAAACAACCGTTATGTGAACAAAATTAATATACCCTTGTGCACAAGTGCGCTCGGGTATAAAAACTTTAAGGCATTTTGTTTCGGCTTTAAGCCAATGTATACGTGACTAATAAATGCTAATGGAGAACACTTTAGAGCCAACCCTTTGATAGCTTCTTTCTTTCGTCTCCGATAGAGAGATTATCTTCAAGGAAGTGGCTTCATAGTTGGACCCTGCGGAAGCATCCAATTGGGGTCATGCAATGCCCTTTAAGTCGGAATCTTGCTTTAGGAAGTAAAAAAATAGTTTTACATTCTGGAATCGAGTTGTTGTTGGAAAGGTTAAAACAAATTAAATCCAATATTTTAGTATGGGTTTTCAAACGAGAAGGGTTTAAGGAAATTTTATTTCGAAAATGGATACTTCTGAAGCTGCTGATAGATTCAAAATAAATTTCATTAAGAAGTTAATCAAGGCATTTTAATGTGATAAAAATTGAGAGAGGATTAAAAAAGCTTTCTTTCAAATTTTTTTTTTAAAGGGTTTTCAACTGGTGAAAAAGTGAAAATCAATTTAATTAACGTGTTTATTGGAACCTTTTAATATACATACATAATTACAAACATGCATAGATGTCAATGAAAAAGAGTTTAAGAAAACATAATTGTTTTATTAAGTTTATGAAAAGTGTTTAGAATTTCAGAATCTCATTGATTAAGGACCAATTTTAGATGTAAATTTAAATGACAATTAAGCTTAATTTCAGATCACTATTTAAATACCATTTAGCTTTCGTTGGGTATCAGGTCAATCTTATTTAAATATGCCAAACAAGTGGCTACACTCCTTTGCTGGTTCCTTGAAATGTTTCTTGCATTTGTTCGTTTGTTTAAATTTTGTGCTGAACAGCTGATTGCTGTTTGATACAAACACAGGGTTGCATATCTAATATTTAAATAGCACAGGTTGGCCATTTAAGTGCAGATTAAATATGTGATCTGAAATGCATTTTTAAAGTTAATCAACAATCTCTACTAAAATAGCTCATCTGAAAACTATTTTTGAAAAGCAATTTGGTAATTTTAAATCAATTAATTTCATACGTTAAATTTAATATTTTGATATGGGTGAGAGATTTAGATAATCTTGACTTCTCAAATATTTTTAAAAAGGGCTGGGCCCAGTTTAAAAATTTCCATAGGATTTTATAAAAGGTTAAAGCTTTTTCTACAAATTATTTATAACGGGTGATTTTTTTGAGGTTAGGATTTTCATGCATTAGTATTTGACAGATCACGTGGGATTTCAGACATGGTGTCAAAGAGAAAGATGCTCAGTATGCTTTGACATTTCATCATGAATAGACTTACTAACGAGCAACGCTTGCAAATCATTGAATTTTATTACCAAAATCAGTGTTCGGTTCGAAATGTGTTTTTATCGACAAATTTTGTTCAGCGATGAGGCTCATTTCTGGTTGAATGGCTTCGTAAATAAGCAAAATTGCCGCATTTGGAGTGAAGAGCAACCAGAAGCCGTTCAAGAACTGCCCATGCATCCCGAAAAATGCACTGTTTGGTGTGGTTTGTACGCTGGTGGAATCATTGGACCGTATTTTTTCAAAGATGCTGTTGGACGCAACGTTACGGTGAATGGCGATCGCTATCGTTCGATGCTAACAAACTTTTTGTTGCCAAAAATGGAAGAACTGAACTTGGTTGACATGTGGTTTCAACAAGATGGCGCTACATGCCACACAGCTCGCGATTCTATGGCCATTTTGAGGGAAAACTTCGGAGAACAATTCATCTCAAGAAATGGACCGGTAAGTTGGCCACCAAGATCATGCGATTTGACGCCTTTAGACTATTTTTTGTGGGGCTACGTCAAGTCTAAAGTCTACAGAAATAAGCCAGCAACTATTCCAGCTTTGGAAGACAACATTTCCGAAGAAATTCGGGCTATTCCGGCCGAAATGCTCGAAAAAGTTGCCCAAAATTGGACTTTCCGAATGGACCACGTAAGACGCAGCCGCGGTCAACATTTAAATGAAATTATCTTCAAAAAGTAAATGTCATGGACCAATCTAACGTTTCAAATAAAGAACCGATGAGATTTTGCAAATTTTATGCGTTTTTTTAAAAAAAAAAGGTATCAAGCTCTTAAAAAATCACCCGTTACAAAATTGTTTTGAAAGCATTTTATGAGAGTAGCCACAAAACCAAAATTTATGTAAAGCAACTTTTTCCGTTTATTTTAAATAAAAAATAAAAATTTAGCATTGATATATTATTTAAAATTTATTACAAACATTGATCGTTAACGGAGAGAGCAAAATATCGAGACCGACTCGATTAACAGGTCAATTCTGGCTTAGGGCCATTATGCAGCTCTCAATAAAAGCAAAAACTCCATATAAAATGACGCACAAGAAATGGCTAAGAAATTTTCTTGTGCCTAATTACGCAGTTCTTAAGAAATTTGGTACGCTTTCTACTACAGTTTTCTAAAGTTTTTTTTGTGGAAAAAGAGCACAAGGCAACCCATGCTTGCCCGTTCCATTATTTCTTGAGGAAAGAGTGAGGCAACAGGCGTGTGGTGAAACAGTGGCAATTTTTTTCTTGACCGTTTTCATGAGAGCTGCATACTGGCCTTAAGATAGTAAAAAGTCCATCGTAAGATAAATGAAAGACAAATGGCAAGATAGTTCGAAAGACTTTTTTTGTTCTAGCACAAATATCTTAAGCACAGTATTGTGTTCCTGTTCCACATCAAAAATCTGTCAACTTGCATATAAAATTTCTTTCTGTGAAATAAGTGTGAAATTCCACAACATTTCCTCAGCAAAGTAGTATTTTGTTCACGCTGAGAAAAACCTTGCAACATGTTGGCAACATGAAGCTAGCAACACAATTTTCATAGCAATTTAAAATACACATATACATTTTAAATTTTTGAAAACTGACATTTTATAGAATTCAGTAGCGGTGAACACAAAGAGAGTTTAGGGGTTAAACCTTACCCAAACCGATCGTAAGTGTATTTCACGTACAAGAAAATTGCGGATGAATACTTATTATCATATGACTGGTTTGAAGAATCAATCTCGTTTTTAATAGTTTGATAAATATTTTAGTAAATGAACTAATGTTTGTACCTAACGGTATACGCAACAAATATGATCGCAAAAGAATAAAGAAGATTTAAACATTTTCAAAAACTAACAATTTCTTAATTATTTAAAAAAGAAAAATATAATTTTTAATTTCATTTAATTTTTCGAAACTTATTTCATTTTCTTTTTCAATAAAATTTATTTTGCTTTTGTTAATTTCATTTTCTTTTAGTTTTAAGATTTTGTTGCTTTAAAAAAGAAAAACATATTATTTTATTTCATTTAATTTTAGGATCTTATTTTACTTTTTCTGTCTTTATACCCGAGCACACTTGTGCACAAGGGTGTTATTTTAATTTAATTTTCTTTTGATTAATAGATTTTGTTTTACAAATAAACATTTTTTTTTATTTATTTTTTTTATTTTAAGTTCTATTTTCTTTTTTACTTAATTTTTTCCTTTGCTAATTTAATTTTTAGATTTTGTTGTTTTAAGAAGATTTTTTTATTTCATTTAATTTTTAAAAGTATTTTTTATTTATTTTTGCTTTATTTTCATTTCGTTTAATTTTTTTTTTTAATTTGTAGTTTTTTTTGTTTAACTAAGAAAAATAAGATATTTTTTAATTTAATTTAATTTTTAAAAAACTTACTGCTAAACGAAATAGCGGTAAGACCTCCTCGTTAGCAGATCTTCCAATTAGTCTTACGAAAGAGAGTAAGGGGCTTTCAAGATAGTTGTCAGAACTGGAAATTGTCTTACGAAAGACTTTTGTCTTTTAAAAGACTGTGGCGTATTGAAAGAGAGCAGCCAGAATTGCGCTGTAAAATAACCATCTGAGTTAGAGCATCAAAGTGATCAGCATAATTCTATAACTTTAATACATACATATTTATTTACTTATACATATATACATATAGAAATATTAAAAATTTTAACACAAATATCAATATAATATTTATAAAAATAAAAAACTAGTAGCCGTACTCACCCGCTATACAAGCATTTGCAATCAAAATTGTGACGATCACAAGCATTTTTTGTTCCATTACGCTGCTTCCGCCAATGCTGCTCATGAAATATTTACCATATAGTATTCCGTGGAACTTTTGTATAATTGATTCGCTGGATTTGCCTTGTTGAATTATGTGCTTTGAATCACAAGCGTTTCTCGTAGGTGTCTGTAAGTCAGTATTTCTTTATAATTGTTTTTGTTAGATGCTAACTAAACAAAATCAGTCTTCGTTGAAATTTTCGTTCTATGCAGCATATGTGTGGCGTTTTTAACCTTTCCTAGCATTGTGGACTTTTGATGGGCGTTATTTTTTTATTTATTTTTTTTTACTTTTATTACAGTGCTTTGGATTTATTTACTGAATGTAGCTAAAAGCTTTTGGCTTAAAATTCGTTATTCTTTCGATTTAGTTTACATTAAAAATAAATTTTATGAAATTATGTGTATGGTTTTTTGATGCATTCATCTCGTTGTTTTGTTTTCTTCTCGTCCACACTGTTATTGTTGAATATTACATTTTTTTTTGCAAACATTTATAAATACATACTACATTATCACATCTTTGTTTGTTTTTAAGCTGCTCGTTGCTCCGAACTTTGTTGGACCATATTGATTTTACTCTTACTTGTGAATTTTTACTTTGTTATTAAACATTTCCTGATACCGCGTTTTTACTACTGCCGTTAAAAGTTATGTAGATTAGTATTACCATTTTCATCGCTGCCTGCCTTCACTTGATCTGATTTGCGCTTTTAATTTTTATTAGTCGTTGTGTTTTACCTGTACCTTTTCATAAGATATGATGTTTGAATGAATACTTCAATTATGTATCGTCAATATCAATGCAAAAGGTCCTAAATAATAATTTATTGAATTTTTTTTTAATATTTCCGTTCATGACCCAAAACGAAATTTTAGAAAACCGAGATTCGTTGGCAGCACTGAAAGTATTGCCTATTGTAATTTAAGCATTTTTTTTGCTTTTCCTGTGAAGTCTCTACTTTAGTATTTAGGGCCCTATTAAAGGATGATGACCATACAAAGCTTTCATTTTGAAATAGTTAGGACTGTATTTTTTTTTAAACGGATTGAATATGAGAAAGTCTTGCTATGTATTTACGATAAATCTTCAGAGTATTTTTTTTTACGCAAAAACAAGACACATCACAAGGTCGATAGGATATTCGCATTTCTGCTTAAAATCGAAAAAAATAGTACAAAATTTCAGCATCTGCCTCGCATCTACCGCTATTAGGTAGAAAAACATTCTTGCATTTTCAACGTCAGCATTCTATCAAACTGCCCATAAAATCAGTCACCAGCATTCTTTACAATCACTTTTGCAACTTTATTGTATTGCAGTTATAAACAACTTATAGATTTTGTTGTTTTATGTTCGCGTATTGTTGTATATTTTGGTTTTGTTTTGGTTGATGTTTACTCGTACTTTGATAGCTTTTGTTTGCTTTGCAGTGTTTCCGCTGGCTACCACCGCCGCACAGTGATTCAAAATTGGCTTTTAGTGTTCACAAGTTCACAATTACATTTTTTTTCTAATGAAAGCTTATAAAATTTGAAAAAATACCAGTTGAGCCCGATTTTTGAATTTTTGTTTGTTTGTATTAAATTATTTTTTTGAACAAAATCGATTCTCCTGTTCAATTTAATAAGTGTTACATAATAAAAAAATAGGTAAAAACAAATACACGGTTCCCCAAAACAAAAAAAAAAATCCACAAGAAAAATTTGAAATGTTATAAAAAAACCCAAAAAAAAATATTTTAGCGAAATTTTGTTTACAACATTTAAATATCCTTTTCTTCGTTTTTGGAGAACCCCACAATTCTTTTCAACCAGTTTTTATTATGTAAAATTAATTAACTGAAACAGGAGAATCGATTTTCATTAAAATTGCTATTTTTTCTTCACTTTGCACTAAAAAATTTAATAGAAGGGAATGGGAATCCCAAAATCGAACTCAACTGGTCTCCTGCAAAATTTATAGGGTATCATTAAAAAAAATATATCAAATTGAGTGAGAAATTAAGGCTCCAGTGAATTATGAACAGTAAATTCCAGTTTGAACCACTGTGTGCCGCCAGCGTTTTCCAACAAAGTTTAATTTTTTCGCAGTGTTTGCATTGCCGTGCTGATATTTGCGCTTTTTTGATATCTCACAATTTCAGTATTCGATTTTGTTCGTTTTCAGTTGCGCGAAAATAATATGTATGTATGTAAATATCTACGCGTGCAACTTTGTGTTTTTTTTTTGTTTTGGTTGCGCTTGAACTTACACAGTGAGTCAGAGTGCAAAATTTGTGCGTGAGTGTGAGTGTGCAATATTTCCGTTTATTTTTTTTTTAATTTAGCCTTTTAATCAAAGCATTACTTATTTATTTAATGCAACTTCAAAAAAAAATACAACTTGGCAAAATTTAAAAATTCTGAGGACATTCATAACAGGAGTCTAATATCGAAAAATGGGCGTACGGAAAGTTAAAAGATGGGTGAAAAAATTTGCTCGAGCGCGTCAAATGTTCACAAGAGATATTAAATTCATTATTAATATAAATTACAGTTTTTCGAAATTTCCGATTTGAAGAAATAAATAAAAATTACTAAATAAGTTTGCCTTGCGAATGAGAAAAATTCAAACTTTAATATGGAAAATGTTACTCATACGTCATGTACGAGAATGCACGAGTACACTGTGAAAATAGCCTGATCAGGAAAACGGTATACAGATGCATAATCTACGACCCCAAATTAAATTTACGTATTTCGGCGTTTCCATACATTGATATTAGCAGAATTGGATCTTAAATTTGGTTTTTTTAAACACCTCGATGCCAGCGTCATTTAAAGGATTGGCAAGTAGCCTATGCTGACCGCTAATCAAAAGCACCAACACAAACACAAAATCTACTTAGCTAATTTTTGACAGTGTTTTTTCAGACGCTGACAATTCCAATTTCTAAATCGAAACTCTTCCGAAGTTTTATGAACGATTACCACTGATCACAGCCGCCTAACCACAAGTTTTTGAATTTTTGTTTTTGCATTTTGGAACGATTTTCCGTCATCCCTTGTCAAATTCGGTTGTTATTTTTATTGCACCCTCTACTCAAGCGGCCGCCCACCTATGTTACTTTCTAAAAACAATACCTAAACACTTTTAACTGCAAATCTTAATTAAACCGTACCCATGTAGCTCTATATAGCCAGCTTTTAAAAGCATATTAAGTTTAAGTATTGTACTCAAATCTGCCTCAATAAGACTAAGAGTGTTAAAAGTGGCAATAAAAGTATTCAAATACAACGAAGTTGAAAGAACCCATTTACGTTAATTGTTACAGAAGTCAATGTGCTGTGCTCATACCGCATTGGGTGGTTTTATGGTCGTCACATAAAAGTCTCATTAAAAAGCGATGCGATTTAATGGCATTTAAATTCGAACTTAATATTTTAAAAAATATTGAGGTAAACTCTGTCGTGCAAAGTGAGTGGAAAAAGTCGCGGGGAAAGTTGATAGGAAAAACCTGGTTAACCTAATTAAGGAAAAGTAAATGTTGTAAATGCAAAATTACCCATCTCTTACTCACACCCTCTCTGAAGCAACGGAGCAATTCCAAAGAAACCATAAAATCGGCGCGATATCGATTAATCAGTTTATTTGGGTTTGGGTGTGAACCGTTCAATAATAAATAAGTGTTATTTTTTAACTCTAATAACTTTTATAAGTATTTGCGGAAGACCTTTCGTAAAAAAAAAAAAAATCAAAAAATTAACGCCAGTTTTGGTTTGCAATTGTTATATGAAGAAAAAAACGCAAAAGGCCGCAGGCAAAAACAAAGTAATATCACAACATCGACACGAATTCTTACCAGAAATGCACACCAGACTGCTTTCTAAAAATTTAGGTAAAATGGTTAAAAATTGTAATGAAAATCTGTTGAGTTTCTCTAAATTTTGTATAAAGTTTGAGAGCGGGCAAATGAAAATGCCCAAGGATTTTTTGTATGAAATATGAGAAGAAAAGAGTGTTATAACTCAGGTGTACATGGCGTATGAGCAACATTCTTTCTTGGTAATTTTTCATAAAAAAAAATCTTTGCGCATTTTCATTTGACCACGCATTCCTTGTTTATTTATCCATCGATTTTCTTCATTAGTAGTAGTAGTAGTTATTTTTTTAATTTTTTCCCTGATTTTTTTTTGTAATTATTGCATCAAAAAACGAAAAATCTGGAATGATTAATTCATTTCTCAGAAACTATCAGGCCTATCAAAAAGTGATGTATTTAAGGTTTATGGGTTCAGTACAGCGAGTGCGAGTTTTATTATAAAAATTGGATGTGCAGTAAAAGGCAGCAGTTTAAATGTTCAATGTTAGTCATTTTGTGCTACAAAAATCAAATGTTATTTTAATAAAAAACCACCTAATACTCGATGTGTGTACTCATTAAAAGTATCTAAGACAAACTCGATGCTAGGGAATACTCGATTCAACTTTTATTCGAAAATACTCAGAGGCATTTTAGTAGAGAAGTGCGATTTTTTGTGGAAAATTATAGTTTCTGCCTTAAAAAACAGTCGCTCACATATACCCGACGACAAAATAAAAAATACAAAATAGTGCTGAAACAGGAGAATATAAGTAATGAGAAAGCTCATCGTTTGTATGTGTTTGATTCTAGATATACTTCCGCAAATCATCCTCTAATTCGATTTTCGACTTTTGCTGTCCACTTCCCAGTGCGCTTTTGGTTTTAACCCTGGCAAAATCAAGTGGTTCACATCTTGAATAGTTTTTTTTTTCAAAACTACAACACAGATCTATTTTCAGTTGATTTTTCCAAATTTATCAAACAAGTAAATACTTGCACTTTGCTCTCGATACCCATGAAGTACTTGTACACGGGTATCGAAGTACAAAAAATACTCGGTACTTGCTAGAGGTACTGGAGTATATACTTCTAAGTACTGGTATCGGAACATCACTATATTAGATATGAACAAAGGCGCGAGCTCAAAAGTTGACCGCGATAAAAACGCATAAAAAGCTTCAGCGGAGAAGGACGCGTAAACCTAGTTGATGGCGAAGAAAGACACGTAAACTTATTTTCGTGGTCAACTGTGTTTCCAGGTGTAACAGTATATATGTAAGTTCCCGAAAGAGTTTTTGGACAATGATGCGAGATATAAATCTACGCTTACGCCTAAGTTTTTTTATGCGCCTGTTTTGTTATATTTTTTTCATGCGTTGTTCCTACAAAGAATTTTACTTCACTCTGTGCATTACTGTACAGTTGTTGCACTCAACAGTGAATGCAGTTGGGCTTGGCTGTTTTATTACAGCAATGTTTTGTTGATGCAAAGTTTTGATTCACTCTTTGCAGTATTTGAAAGTTCTGAGGAATTGAAGTGAAGTATAGCAAAATTAGCAAATGTTTTGATTGCGCTTTCAAAACCATTTATGCAACCCTTACGTCGATGCTACTATAGTCGAAGATATCACATATAAATTTTGGTACTGATTGAAGACGTCATAACCGATTCCAATTGAGACCAAAATTTATATGTGATACCCTCGACTTTAGAAATTCGAGTTTGGGTATTAAATGAAAAAAAAATATTTTAATTTTTTGAGTCCATAGAGGCATCTGGCCTTTGACCCCTTTGCTACACGCCTCAACTGACCCTAATCAGGATCTTCGACTATGGTAGAAGCGATTTTAGGTATTATTTAGGTGAAAACAAAAATTATTTTTAATTTTCTCAGTCTCCATAGAGGAATCTGTACTTTGCCCCTGTGCGACACACCTTAACCGTCACAAATT